TGGCCCACCTGTGCCAAACTGGCTATATACGCTCTGCCGACCGGAATACGGTGTACCGGGAGCTGCAATACCATAAGGCGTCCGAGCGGGGTAGTGCTGGGTAGAGTATTGCGAGTTTGCAGTGTTGGTCGTTGACGGCGGGTTCTCCGCGAACAGACAGCGTAAATTGCTGCCTTGAATGACCTGCATGAGTGCACCATTCTCCACATGCCGAACTTCAATAAACGATGGCTCGAAGGCGAGAACATAGGGATAGTGCAGGGCTACGCAGCATGTTAGCGAGTGAAAACTGGGCAACGGTGCTACGTACCGAAGGACGACGGGGTGCCTTCCCAGAAGATGATGAACCTGTTGCGAGCCCGCCACCCGTTCTTATTGACGTAGAATGCGAATTCTGAGAATAATTTCAGCCAGTGCAATGAACTACCATTGAGGCTCGCACCATCGTAGCACAACAGGAAGTCCTGATCCACGCGGAAGATTGCCATTGGCCGAACAAGACCTTCTCGTCTCTTCACGAAATCGAGTGTGCTGTCGCTGGGATCCAGCAGGCCTTGAGTTTCCAAAGACTGGAGGTCGACAATCTCGAAGCCTTTCGTGCAGCCGATGCAGATGCGACTCTTGAGGAAGTGCAGAGACGACGATTCTAGCGGAATGTAGAATTCCTACATTACACAAATCAGTTTATACTTCTCAAGCGTCTGTTATGAGAAGTAACAACGTACCTTGTACGGTCGCAGCGCGTCGTTGGTACCCTGTACCCATTTGCGGAACGTCGTCTTACTGCGTCCACGGATAGTGCCATCGACTGGCTCAAGTGCTCTAATGGTGCTACTGAGCGCGCTGGTCTTGACGACACAGACCAACGTTTTGCCCAAGCACGTTCCGGCGCGGAAAAAGTTGATGTGCGAAGAAACACGTCGTTGCAATTGCACATTATTTCTAGGATCGCGTTCGTCAATGTTGTCGAGTGCGTATGCAAAGACGGTGCGCTCTGAAGAATGCGGGGAGAGGTTAAAGAAAGAGATGGGTATTTGAAGAAGACTTGCCTGAAAGGACCAAAAGGACCTGCTGTGCCTCCAGAACTTCGACCTGCACAACATCCGGAAGAAGCAGGATATGCTTCGGTTGTGTGGCCTGCTCTTCATGGAGGTCCGCGAGATAGACTCCGTCCTGCGTGCCAAATGCGACTCGACGACCTGCGTTGAACGGAACGGCGCAGTACACACGTCTCCCCGAGTCGGGCGCAAAGAACCGATCGCTCAAGACTGTCGTGTCGAACACCAAACTGCGAGCCCGTAACGTCTCTTGCTGTTTGGTGATGTGCTCGACCCATTTGCGCCGCGCGACGAAGGTGCTGGCGAAAAGCATGACGGTGTAGCCTTTTCGGCCGAGGTGCGCAAAGGTGATGGGGAAGCCTTGCTTGTTCTCGATTTGCTTCGCGCTAGGCACGGAGGCGTGCGGGTCGTCCGGACATGAGACCACCAGCAACTCGAGCGGGATCGGCCTCCGGACAACCCTGAGGGCGTCGATCTTGGTCTTCTGCTTGGCCATGACAATTGCGTGGTCGAACAAGAAGATCTGCAGGTCGCCAGTCTCCGCTGCTGAACCACCTCTTCGCTTCATTTGACCCTTGAAAATGAGCTCGCGGTGCGGATCTTCCAAACGCAGAGGCTACGAGAGTAATGAGAAATTGAATCAAACATCGTAAAGGAAAGCCGTAGACTTACAACTTCCTCGCCCGGACGGAATTGAAGCTGAGCCGCGAGCTGCTGGATGTTGTATGCGTTCTCGGCCTTCCCGCTTGCCTGGTTGACCGCCTCGAGGAACTCTCTGATCATTGTGATGACCTTGGGCAGGTCTTCCTTATCTGGGTGATCGTCTGGAGTGTATTTGAGAGCCACGCCCAACAAGAGTGGGTAGCGGGCCAGACGGGTGGTTGGCTTGGTCAGATATGCGTTGAGCTCCAGCTTCCGGCTCTCCGGCCTGCGCTCCGCCTCCTCAACGAACACCGCGAACGAGGGGTTGGCGGCCTTCTCCCGCTCGAATTCAACCTTGGCAAGCAGCTGGTGCGCACCATATGCAACAAATGGATCAAAGAACGGAACATGTTCGAGCAGAATGTCGCCAATGCGGTCGACCACTGCATACGCCTTCTGTCGTTTCGTCAGAGCATCTCGTAGCTTGGTGTTGACCGCAAGAATGTCGGCAACGTTCCAGAAGACGTTGTGCACAAATGTGGCCGAGTCCGCGAGGTCCACGCCACCACTGCCGTCGAGCAGCGGCTTCATCCAGACGTCCCGCAAGTACTCGACGTCGCGCACGAAGTCCCGCTCGGTGTACATAACCTCGTTGATCGCCTCCTGCCGCTTCTTCTCCGTGTCGCTAACCGAGTCGACAACCTCCTGCGGCACGGAATGAATCCACAGTGTGCCCGTCTCGACAACTGCGTCGTCTGCAGGGTCCTCGGCGGCGTCGAGAATCTCCTGCGCGGGTTGCCTGAGCCCGCCGCTGGGCTTCAAGTGTTGCCGCCGCTGCTGCTCCACGCGCCGCGGACATGAGATGCTGTAACACAGTCGGTCGCGGCTGCATGTCGGGCTGTAGCAGTCCGTCAGCAGCGTAAACACGCCGACCGGCAGATTTTGCTCCCCATCAGCGTCGTCGGTGGGGCAGGCTCCGCGCTAGGTTCTGCTGGCTCAGGCTCGGGAGCTGCACCGTCATCGTGCTCGGTCGTCTCTGCTACTCCGTTAATCTCACCGCTTCCCCACGGTGCCACTCGCGTGCTGAACCGATAGATCTCCGAGCTGCTGTCGCGGAGGCGGTGGTCATAGGTGACGTCGTGGAAGAACTTCTGGGCGTCAAGCGCACGGCCAAGGAGGAGCGCAAGGTTGCGGTCCGTCGTCTTGATGATGTACGCGATCTTGTCGACCGCATCCCGCCCCGTGAACGCGTCCGTGTACTCGAGCCCGTCCTTGATGTGCGTGATGAGGGGCAGCCGGGACTGTAGAGCCGCAGCAACGCGCGACAGCATGGCAGGGTACACAAGCGGTTGGCGCAACCTCTTGGTGTTAGCCCCGGTGATGGACTGCGAGTGCGAGTGCCCGTGTCCGCTGACCGTCCCATTACTTGCTGGTGACAGCTGCGCCGCGTCTGGCTGAGATATAGCACCCATGCTGCGTGATCGGTCCTGAACAGTGCGATCTCGTCGCAGGCTTCCGGTGCGTGCTGACTGAGGGCGTGGACCAGTCAGCTCGGTGGATCGGCGAGGCTGCGACTGGTGAACCGCCGAGTTTGACCGCGCGACGGTGGAAGGGGTTGCCAGCTGCTCGGCTGATGTGGTCGAGTTTGAGATGCTGGCGCTTGGGCTGGGTGTAAACTCGCGGTCGTCGAGCAGCCGAGACTCCATTGCAATGTTGAGTTGCAGTGGATGTGGTCTCGACGATGGTGAAGTGACTTCTGGCGAGGCCTTTCCAGCAGGTGCGAGTTGTTTAAAGGTAGCGACAGAAAGCGGGCGCGGCATCTTGTCGAAATCGGCAAGTGACGAGTGGTCAACCAGGGTCGAGGAGGCGTCCGAAATGGGGCGTGCGGCTGCCGCATGTCAGTGACGCAGGGTATAGATGAGTAATGAATGATGAGAATCGTGCGAAAGCGGCTTACTATCGCTGGCCCAAGGCAATTCGCTATCCTCGCGACCTAGGATACTGTCATCGTCGAGCGGCATGGTGCGATGTCGTAGCACCGGCTCGGCATGGGTGTCAACAGGAGCAGCAGATGCTGTGGCTGGAAAAGCAATGTCTAGACGGCCTTCTCCAAAGTTTTCTTCCAATGGCTGCAATAGAAAGTTGCCGCTGCCGTTGCTCGAAGGACGAGACGGCGGGTGCGATAGTTGCGGGGGTGGCATGAGCGATTGCCGTTGGCCCGGCGAGCGGTCACGAATTGGAAACTGCCCAGTGACCTGCGCCTGATATGCCTGCGCTGCAGTCATTCCAGGTGGTGGTGGAGGCCCCTGAGCGGCCTCTTGGATGTAAGTCAGCGGTCTTGGATTGTAACCTGGGTACTGATGATGCGCTCTGTTCGTGGGCGGGGGACCATTGTAGGATCGTATAGACGGCGCTGCAGCAGGCGGTTGTTGATAATACATAGCCTGGTTGGGGTGCTGAAAATGCGGTTGCGCATACTGATGTTGTTGCTGCAGGCGGGGGTCGTAGGCGTCGTTTTGCGTGTATACGCTGCGGATCGATGCCGCGCCACGCACAGACGGTGTGTACTGCGACTGTGGACCCGCTGCTCACAAGAGGTCAGTCGCTGTGTAAAAGGATGAGGAGATTGGGGGAGTTGCTCACGGGGACGGTGGTGGCCAGCAGACGGTCTTCCGAAAATGCTTTCATATGCGACATTGCGCTTGTCAGGACCTCGATGCTCCATTATAAAGCGTTAAAGGTGAAATGGGTGCAGCTGATTTGTCGTGCCGCGTCGTACACGCTCAGTTGGCTGCAGTGGCCGTCCAGCCGGCAATCCACAGACAATCGGGTCGCAACAACAACCGAGTAGCTGATTCAGACCCTATCTGACAAGAATATCAGTTGGCGCCCCAGGAATTAGCGTTGTAAGGTCGTTGTGCGGTCGCGGCTCAGGCGCCGGAGGCCAAGTTCAGATTCAGCCTCCGCCTCCGACTGTCCCTTCCCCTCAAACTTTTGCAGCCAATATGTGCCAAATTGCAAGAATCTATAATTTTTTGACAGGGATAATGTCTATGTGCACGGATATGCCGCGAAACTACCTGATGCCATCCACGAGCACTAAACACACCCTCCGAACTCGGCACGACGCATCGACACGGCACCCATGGTGATACGTGGGAAAAAATCATGACCGAGGAATATAACCTTGTGTCTTACTTAAAGCTCGGCATCCTTCAAGTATGGACTGATGCCCCTTGTTTGAGAGAGTAGAGAGTGATATGCATCTTCATGCGGTGCTAGAGGCATCGAGCCTCAAAAGGGTCTGTCCGGGGATTGAACCCGGGGCCTCACGCATTGGAGTGGCTTGGGCCGCTAAACCCTAAGCATGAATCATACCACTAGACCAACAGACCTTGATGACGTCTGCGCTAAACTGACGTCCATGATACGCGTGCTACAAGTCACTTCCTCCTGAGTTTCAGATCTTCACTGTCTGTCATATGCACTTGCAACCTGTCGTTGTATCCTAGATACGCGGTTGGAACCGTTATAGCTAAATTTCGATATCACTCCTTTCACACCGAGCAACAAGTAGAGCATGAGATAAGTGTCATTATTGGAGCATAGTGAAGGCGAAGTATATAAGTATAAAGTAGTCGGGGGCTTGAAAACGAAGGTGGATATCGCGGCTTGATGTACAAAAAGTGTGCGTGCACGCATTACTAACTGCGGCGAGGCTTTGCTCGATTAGCATTCATTGATCTCCGCACGCGAGGGGGCATCAGTTTTGTTCTTAAATTTGTTGAATTGTCCGTTCCGGGTTTCGTGATGGTTCTGGAGCGAGCACAGCTCACTGCTTCCCAGAGTCGTTCGAGTTCCACGCTGCCCATGCGAACTCGCATGCGAGGCGGCCCAGCGTCCCGGGGGTGAAGAGGTCTGTCGGCGGCCGCATGAACTGCATCGTGCCCCAGAAGGCTTTCGCAGTAGCGGCATCGCCTCGCCAGAACTTGGAGTCGTCGCGGCACATGACGGCGTTGAGCCTGTTGATTGCGTTGAAGACAAACTTGCCGCTATCCAGCGACTCGCCCTTGACGGGGATCGTGGTCGGCATGCCGTAGTCTGACAACTTGGACGCCAGCCTGCAAATGGTGTGAGACGCTGCGGTACGAAGTGATCTGAGATGCTGATGGCTCACCATAAGTGGCCCGTGCGGCTCTCCATGCGTTTGAAGAAAGTTGCGCCGAAGTCCTTGTCAGCGGGATGGCTGTCGCGAAGGACGCCGTCGAGCGTCAAAGCACCAACCGAGACCTTAGTCACACCCTCGCTGAATAAGAAAGCACCGTTAGTTCGATGTTTCAGTATGAGGAGAAAGAAATACGCACCCTGCACGTGGGTTGAGGCGCAGGCTAGAGTCACCAACCGCCACGTAATTGTGTGGGAGCTTGTCGGCGGCCGCCTCGTAGTAAATACGCGAGCATGCAACTGTCAGATCAACCGTCAGCTCTGATTCTCAGTGAGTATACCAGTGAGACGTACTGCAACGGCCGAGGAACACGGTTCCTTTCTCTGCAACTGGTTCCAAAAGGTCGAGGATGGCGTAGTAGTAGTCCGGAACGGGATTGGTCACACCAGCGCTGCCGAGGACACCGGAGGCGTATTCGCGCACACCGTCGAGAGTCGTGGGCAGCTCCGAGTCATATCCACCTGCCGCAATCACAACTTTGCGACGCATGAGATGCAGGAACCAAAGCCGATAGTGATGAGAGACTTACTGCGACCATCCACTCGGCCAGCGACGACGTGCTTGTAGTCAAGTTCTGCATCTGGGCCACCAAGGTGGAAGAAGGGAGCTGCCTTGGCCTCTTCGAGTGTGCTAATTCCTGGGATTCCGAGCTTGGCAAGGTCCTCATCGAAATTGGGCGGAGACGGGAACTCCATGCTGACGAGATAGAACTTGGGGTTGTACTCATCGCGCTGGAGACTAAGGCCTGGCACGACGCGCTTGAGAATCTTGTAACCGGCCTGAGTGTTGCCCGTGCAGTCTGCGGGAAATTTCCAAAACAGATCAAAACACTGAACCGCCTGCACAGCACGGGACAAAACTGCTGCACGTACCTGCCACAAGCTCGCAGGGGAGTTCGGTGGAACTACCGTCTGCTGTGCGAACAACGACCGAGCTAACAGCGGACGAGTCCTCTTTGAGCACGAAGTCGGTGACAGTGCCGTTGATGAAGGATACGTTGGCACAGGTCGCGATGACCAAGCGGCGGACCAGGGTCTCGAGCGTCCGGCGAGCGATAAACATCCCCTGGTTAGCGTAGTCCGCGGACGTCTCAACGCTCTTGTGAGGGAACAAGACGCGTCGCCCGCCGATGTGGATAAACGCGTCGTTCGCGGTGAACCTGTCAGAGCAGAACGCCAAACACGGACATTAAGCCGCGCCAGGATGACGGTCCCGTGTATGATCGTTCGGACCGAGCATGGCACGCATAATCGATGGTAGTTATGATGGGCGCCATTGTTGGACGTCCGCAAGATGTCCGGAACACAAGAGCCGGTGGCATAATTGAGTTGCACGCGACCAATAAGTAAAATGAATGAGACGACCCGTCAGTGTCTTGTCGCATATCAAGACTGGCACAACGTACCGTGCGCCAACTTGCTTTGCGCTGGCGTCAAATGTCGGGAACACCGCCCGAAGGAAGCGGGTCAGGATCACCTGGTACACTGCGCAGGGTCAGCTACCAGATCCTGAAGCTTATCAAAGTGGTACAAGACAACTCACAATGCACTGAGAGATACTGGTACACGCGAGTGCGCTTGTGAGCAATGGTTTGGTACGGTCCGTTGGTGTGATCGTCGACATGGCGAGTCGCCAATGGTTCGCCGTTGACCGCTTCGTCCGTAAACGTGAAGGCCTCTGGCTCAACCACGATGACCTTCTCGAAATGGCTTGCGCATACGCGTGCTGTAAACAGGCCGGAAAAGCTACACCGCCCGTGTCTCAGCGAGTGCGATGCTGTTTGAGGAACATGCGCGCACCTTCCACCGCATACGACGGCAGTACCGTGGATTGGACCGGACATACGGGGACGTCCTACTCTGTCCAAGTCGCCGACAGCGGTGAACTTGCGCAGGAGAAACCGCCCGACGATGCGTTGGACGGAGCGGCTGAGCCAGACTGCGAACCCGAGGAGCGCGAGTGGGATGAATGCTCGTGTCAATTGAGCAAGGAGCATGGTCGTGGTCGATTGAGAGATGTCATGGATGTTGTCCATAGGGAAACTATAGGGAAGTACTGTAGAGGCGTTCATAGAGCACGAGGAATTAGAGGGAGGAAGAACCGCTGAAACTTTCAGTTGGTCTGCCGCGGGCCCGCTTTTATAAACAGCCACCGGTGGCAGAACGTCAGGGCGTGGTACCCTCAACCGGTTTCTCACGATGTGGCGCCCGTTGCAGGGAGACAAATACATGATGCGCAGTGGTCAGACCGTTGATCCCATAATCCACGCGAAACGCCACCTGCATGAGGAGCAAGCAGTGTTAGCCGATAATTGTGGCATCCAACACTGATGCTCCAGACTTTGCGCAATAAAAGTTCTCTGGGTACTGTGGGATTTTTTCCACAGTGGATGCGTGGCTTGGCCGTCACGGTACAATCACGCCGAATGCTTAAAATCTACGTTGCAGAGGGACGAAACGGGAGTACACAGCTCCTGACGTGACGCATGCAAGTCTAAAGTCAAACTCAACAACAGAGCCACATTTGAAGCCGCGCGGCAAGCCATATTGTGAATGTGGCAGTCCGCGACACAATTGCGGCACGTGGGAACTCTGGAAAGCTCGGGTGCGGGCCGTCCGGATGGACGGCGCGTTAGATATCCTCGCATTCCACGCTCTAAATCAAATTTATTAGACCACCACGGTCAGATCCCTGCTCACCAGTAGGATAATCTGACGATTGCACCTCGTCGTAGCCGCTGTGAAGGATGTGGATGAAACCTCCCTAAATCGCTGCGAGAGGCAGTGATGTCTAGAGAGGTGCTGTCGCGGGCGGTCTTGACCAGATGGTCGCGGGCGGTCTTGCAAGCCTAGGCTACGTAAATGAGGTGGATACATATGTTTTAGACCAAATTTCAGGTGGGTCGGTGATAATCAGGGCTGAGGAGCATGGCACAAGGTGAAGACTGAAACAACTTTTTTCGCAAACAATCGTAGCTTATCTGCGTGTGACATAATCCACGTGGGCCATTTACAGAGTTGCAGACGTGAGCCGAGATTCATATTGTCAGTTCTACGATCAGCCTGTTCAGCCGACGTACATCCCCGTCGCAGCGACGACGCGCCAGGTGCCAGGTGCCAAACTCACAAGATCCCTTTCTCACCCTCATCATCGATGTCAGTCTCGCCCCCCGCTCTTGTGCCAGATCGACTAGCATGGTCGCGCAATCTGACCTGAAGTCTACCGTCTCGTCCGTCCTAGTTCCTAATGTAGCACCAGTATTGGTATTCCCTTGGCATGAGAAGCTCGCTTAGGCTCAAAGCCCTCGAGAATCTCTATCCCTTTCCGGAGTATATATTTGACCGAGATTCAGATGATTGCTAGTTCACTTGCCCGGCGCAAAACGTTGGAGCTGTAACAGTTCTCATAGTGTCGTACACCGATCCACGAAGACGTCCACCAACAGCGATTCGAGTGTGGATCTCAACCCTGTCACACATGAACTGCTACACGATCAGTAGAGCCTTAATATTTACCTGTAGCCAACAAGTTAGTTTCCTTCCCAAGCCGCCCGAAGTAGGGTTCCTTCATCGCGTGTGTGCGTGCGTGCGTGCAAATAAATCGAGCCTAAAGCACGCGCACCTCGTTTCAGCCTCTTCCAAGACAAGTGACGGTACGGGCGTAACGAAGATTATACAGATGGGAAAAAATGAGTCTAAAATACTTCTGTTGATATGCCAGCTTGTCGCGCTATTCCCCCGGATGCGGAAAGGTCATGGAAGGTCACGAGATTCTTGAGACTTGTGCCACAGACGACCCGGCGTGCCGAGATCTCCACAAGGTGGTTGCATAATCGGCCCGGCAATCATAACTATTATTAAAATCGATGAAGTGCTGGAGAGTGCACAGTCCAAGACTATCGTTTACAGCAAATTTTTAACATTGGGCGGGGCTGGCACCTTGTCAGAGCAAGACATACGCCGTCTGACGCTGATGGCCGGACCTGCCTAGACAAGACCCGCATATAGCTCATCGCTCATATGGGAGGCATCGTGCATTTGTTCATATCGTACAACTCCTGAGTGAGCTACAGTAGAACCTCTCCAAGTCATACCTCTCCGTTCATGCTGCGAGCTATGACATACGGAGGTTATGACTTAACGGAGGTCAAGTTGGGTGCAATGGGGCATT